GTTCATTGAAAGTACTCTATCAAACTGACCAGCTGTGCCAAGGCAAATCCAACAGACAAGGAAAAGAAATTACTGATAAAAGGAATACATGGAAAGGAAATTATAATATTTTAATGCTATATTTAAAAAGAATTAAATGGCTTAGGGCCATATATAGAAAGTATACACTACATATGGCATTTATTTATTTACTTATGTAAATATAGTTTTTTTTGTTTATTTGACACAGAGAAAGAGATCACAAGTAAGGAGAGAGGCAGGCAGAGAGAGAGAGGGGGAAGCAGGCTCCATGCTGAGCAGAGAGCCCGATGTGGGGCTTGATCCCAGGATCCTGAGATCATGACCTGAGCTGAAGGCAGAGGCTTAACCCTCTGAGCCACCCAGGTGCCCCAGCATTTATGTTGCCAGGTATAAGTTTGTGCCTTTTGTAGTTTTAAAGAGTATTCAGAGAGGAGCCACTTATTCATGTATGTTTTCTTACAATATTTAATTCAGGAACTTGAATGTGATATATACTCAGTGAATAATTTTTTTAATTAATTAATTTATTTTTAAGATTTTATTTATTTATTTCACAGAAAGAGACACAGCAAGAGAGGGAACATAAACATGGGGAGTGGGAGAGGGAGAAGCAAGCTTTCCGCTAAGCAGGGAGCCCTCTGCAGGGTTCAATCCCAGGACTCTGGGATTATGACCTGAGCTAAAGGCAGATGCTTAAGGACTGAGCCACCCAGAAGCCCCTAAATTTTTTTTAAGTGAATTGACAAGTTCTATGACAAAGAACCAGTGAGGTAAAACATCATAGTTACTTGGAATATTAGGTGACTATTTGTTTAAAAGATTGTGCTAACATGGAAAGCTGCTTATAATATAGGGTTAAAAATATGAATATACAATAATCTTATAACAATAAGGGGGAAAAAACCCTTTGAATAAAATAAGACCAAACACAACTGTAGCAAAGTGTTAAAATGGGACTTTAGAAGGTTCAACTATGGGTATTTTTTTTCTAGTAGCATATATATATATTTTTTTATTAACATATAATGTACTATTTGCCCCAGGGGTACAGATCTGTGAATCATCAGGCTTACACAATTCACAGCACTCACCATATCACATACCCTCCCCAATGTCCATAACCCAGCCACTCTATCCCTAACCCCCTCACCCCCCAGCAACCTTCTGTTTGTTTTGTGAGATTATGAGTCTCTTACGGTTTGTCTCCCTCCCGATCCCATCTTGTTTCATTTTTTCATTCCCTACCCTCCACAATCCCCCCCACCCTGCCGCTCAAATTCCTCATATCAGAGAGATCATATGAAAATTGTCTTTCTCTGATTGACTTATTTCACTCCGCATAATACCGTCTAGTTCCATCCATGTAGTTGCAAATGGCAAGATTTCATTTCTTTTGATGGCTGCAAAAGATTCTTTTGTCTTATGTCTTATGTCTCTTATGTCTCCTCTGTACTTCTTTTTTCTTTAATAGACCTATATTTCTTAATCATAGCATTTGGTATACCTGTGAAATTGTCAGGAAATGTTATAGGACTTGATGTATTACTTTGACAGCTCATATTTCTGACATACGGTTATGTTGCTATCTAACTGGTGGAGTTTGCAAGCAAGAAAACCAGTTAGAAGATAACTATCATAGTTTATGTATTAGTTTATTAGCTAAGAACATGTCTAGCTATACATAACAGAAAACAAACTAAATTGGGGTTACAATGAGTTCCAGGGTAGACAGTCTAGGACTACCATAGCAGCTTCAAGATGTCATGAATGACACGGACTCCTATCTTTCTGCTCCAGAATCCCTAGCTTGTGGATCCCATCTTTATATTTCCCACATTATGTTCACATTTTGTCATGAGGCTCCATCTCCATCCCCATGGTAGTATTCTAGGAGGAAGAAGAAGAAATGGAAGGTGTGTCTATGTATGTTAAGGAAAAGAAATGCTTTTCTAGAAATCATCATATGTCCAGAACTATATGCTATGGCTTATAAGTGTATGGGATCTTGGAAAATGAGTTTTTTTGGTTAGGCACATTGCTAGCCCTCTGCCCACTTACTCCCAAAGTATCAGGCTCTTTCTAAGAAAGGGGAATAAGTAGTATCTGCTGCCCCTTTTCATACAAGGAATACATTCATCTCCTCCCTAAGAGGAACAATCTCAGAGTCTCGCATCCAGTTACTATAATGAGCTCAGAGGCCAGGATCTAGAAGTTCCAATGATATGGAGTACTCCCAACAACTGTGTGGCTCTTCATGCTCTGGCAACCAACTTTTAAAGAAAAGTTTTTTGCCTCAATACTCCTAAAATAATGGTATATAGGCAAAGTACAGGATATTGGTAAAAGTCCCATTCAGGAAAGGGGAAAATGAGAAACACACAGTGGTCACTGGTCCATAGAACATCTCCAATCCTGTTGGATAACTAGAAATGTATGCCCTTGGTCAGTTAATCTGTCAGTTCCTGATTCTGTTCTATAGGAGGACCTTCCAATTCCATTTCTTCCAGGGGTCACATTTGAAGTGGACCTTGTAGAAAATACCTTCTCTGGAGTAGTAAAACTTTAACAGTCTGAGCAGCTAGATCCAAGAGTCGTGAGTCCAGAAGGTGCCATTTTTCTCTTTGGGGCAATTGACATTCTGAAAGTCATAGTGGAAAAGCTGAGAACTAGCTAGAGTTTTCAACTGCCTCAAGAGACATGGGTAGGGAATGGAAGGTGAAAAATTTGTGTTCAGGGCCTAAGAAAGAAAGACTTTAAACTGGAATTCCAAAGGGCTACACTCTGGAAGTAACTTTTAACTAGTAACTTTTAACTATTAATCCCTGGAATAAGGTGGTCTACCCTTAGTCCGAGTGACCCCCATTGAACCACACCTTCTCATATTTGTATTCATGGTCTCCTGTGGGTCCCTCCCATGTAGAGGCTGAGCTTGTCATGTGCCTTGTTCTAGTGACAGACACATTAACAAGCATGATGTGAGCAAAAGCTTGCATATTGAGGCTTGTCCTCTTGGACTGCTTCCTCTTGGAATCCTAAGATTATCATGCTGTGAGGAAGCCCAAATGAATCCTGAGGACAAGGCTTACACAGAAAAACTAGAGAATCCAGCCAATAGCCAGAACAGAGGCCTAAGACATATGGCCCTAGATGAGCCAGGCCCAGCTATTTGAACCACCCCAGTTGAGACCCTAGGCATCACCAAGCAGAATTGAGCCACATGCCCTATGCACTGCCTGAATTCCTAAGCCAGAGAATCCAGAATCATGGGCAAATAAGAACTGTTATTCTAAATCACTAAGTTTTGGGGTGGTTTGTACACAGCAATAAATAACTGAACTGTTATGAAAATAAAAATAATATATAACTTATTGGTGGGAGAGAATAGAATTAAAAATATTTAATCCAAAAGAAGGCATGAAATGTAAGGACCATAGAACAGATGAGACAAAGACCAAATAGTAAAAATGGTAGATTTAAACTTAGATACTTGCTTCTAGGTAACTCCATGTAGGAGTAGGCACAGACCAAGATATTGTCTTAATACAGCTGTATAAGCCTGAAAACTCTATCTTACCTATTTATGTCTGAATTCTGTCCATATCATTACTATCTTAGTTGAATGGCCATGACTTGATGCAATTTGAAATAAGCCTGCTGGGGAGGTACTACCCTTAATCTATTTTTTGCTGGTATTTCACCCAATCTGGTTTAGAAGAGTTTAAGAAAGCTTGAAACCATTATCTCTACTACTACTGCTGCTTAGCTACTATTTTTATAGGCTTTCATGTTTTGTAAGGTAATAGTTGGCTTTTTCAACCCAGAAACTCTCCGAATTATGGAATTTAGTCGGTTTAGATTTCAGGCCACCGGCAGAGAGCATCTCTTCGCAAGCAGTGTTCCCTTCTCCCTTTCTGCCAGCTACTGGGGGATACAGCCATAATTAACTTTGAGCAAGAGGGTCTTTCTCCTCCGATATATAGCGATTATATGAATTTAACGTAGTGCCTCTACTTCCGTCACTGAAATTCAATATAGGAAGGGCATTTTATAGTCCAGAAACTATAGCAAAGACATTTATAGACCAAGACATTTTATAGTCCAGAAACTATAGCAAATTCACATGCGGTGTATATTTTAAACACGAATAGATGGTGTTCTGCAAGTTCCATGAAAAGAGGCATGGCGTCCGAGTTGATCAGGGCTGTAGCCTAAACCTAGTTGCATGCCTGGCACGGAACAGACATTCGACAAACATTTGTTGAATGAATAAATTAGTCATTACGGTACTTAAGAGCTTTCCAGAACAGATTCGCGCTTCAACTGTCAAAGCCCCAAAGCCGAGTTTCCCTTCTGTCAGGCTACGTTCCCCCGAAACAGGCGCGCTAGCGACCGCGGCGGACAGGCTGCCGACTCGGGTGCGCGGCTGGGCCACCCGTCAGGCTTGGGGCGGGCGACCCCGTCTGGCCACAGCGGCTGTAGCAGCCATTTGCCTCCTGTCGGGGTCCCGCGGCGTCAAGGGCAGGAGGCGTTTTGTTAGGAGGCAAATAAAGCCAACCGCACAGAAACGGCTCGTTCCGTCTCACGTCCTCTCTCGGGTGCCTGGGTTCCCTCGGAACACAGTGACCCTCCGTGTGTCTGCGGGCAGGTAGAGCCTGCTCCACGCGGCCCACACTTGCCCTCCTCACAGCCGCTCGCTCCCCAACGCGCGCAGACCTGAACTTGCTGGTACCCAGCCGGCGCGCGGAAGGACACGCCCCCTCGCGGGAACACGCGGCCATCGCACGCACACTTCGCGCGCCTCCCTGCAAGCGAGCGCGCACGCGCACGTGGGACGGGCCTCCTGCGCGGCACCCACTGAGCGCCCGGCCCTCTCACCCCACCCCTCTTCCCCCGCTGCTCAGGCTCCGCCTCCGCGACGGGACAGCCGAGAGGAGGCGACCGGAAGCCACTTTAAAGCAGAGCTCCCGGTGACAGGCGAGAGAGCTGGTTCGGCAGTGCGGTCGCGGCTTTCTGCACTCCCGGCGGCGGAATGGCCCGTGCGCTGCTCGTCGCGTCTCCGGCCTGCGACCCTTAGACGCCCAAGCCCGCTCTCCGCGCCAATCCTCCCGCGCGGACGCTGCCAGCGAGCCGGCGGTGCGGCGACGACTCGGCTCCTGTGGTCGCTTCTCTCAGGCTGCTCGATCAGGTGAAGGGCTCCGGGTGGGCTCTGAGGGGCGGGCGAGAGACCCTAGCTGGGATGGCGGGCGCGGACGGTGGCGCCGGCCTCGCAGCCTTTCGGGGATCTAGGGTGATTGATATTTAGACTGTGCTTTTTTTTTCTGCCGAATTCATTCGGATCCAGTCAGTATCGGGGTGGGATTGGCTTACACTTATTAATCACTTACGGCCTCGGGCAGGTGTATAAATCGGAGGGCGACACCGAAGGGTTTAGTCGCGGTCGCCGGCGTCTCCGGGTTCCCACTTGGTCTGGGTGGGCGCGGGGGGCGCGTCTCTGCGGCCTCCCCCGCCGGGCGAACCCCGAGCGCTCTGAGGCGGAGGAGCAGTTCGCAGATCCAGGGGCCGGGCACGGCAGCTGAGGGGAGACTTCCGGCAGACCCGCGTTCCGGCTGCAGCCCAGAAGTTTGCAGGCTGTTTTCAGATCAACTTTGAAGGCGCAGAAGTGTTCGCCTGTTTCCTCGCCGCCACCCCGAGAGGCGCCGACCGCGTTTCCCCTTGCACCTCTCGGCTCATTTCTGCGAGCCTCCGAGACTGGCAGGACGATCCTCTCGGGAAGGTCGGTTGAGGAGGCGAGGAAGAAATTAACTGTGGAAGGCGCCGTGAGGGGCTTCTGAGATGGAGGGAAGCCTGGGCGGGGGCGGGGGGCGCTCGTAGGGACCAGGCTGCAGCGAGGGTTCGGGGGCGCTCCGGTGCCTGCCGAGGGGCATTGAAGGGGTGGGATGCTCCGGAACGCCGGGAATTGGCCGAGCGGGGCGGCGCCTCAGCTGCGCTGCGCGGAGTTGGCCCGGCTCGGGGGGGCGGAGCTGCGAAAACCGCTGTGGCCGGCAGGAGGCGTCTCTCGGACCCGGGCTCGGCGTCCCGGAGTCGCGTCGCGGTTGGTCGACGAGGAGTCCTGAGTTTGCAGAGGGTGGTTTCCGCGCTCGGTGCCAGGGGCCGGGAGTCCCGGAGGACTGGGGACATCACGAGGCGAGGGGTGGAGCGGTAGGTCGCCTGCAGCGGGGGACCGGAGGAAGTGTCCTTCCAGTCTTTATTTTTCTGTTATGCAAACTAATTGAGGAACTAGGTTCTAGTGACTTCCCCACTCCAGCCACTCCTCTGTTCTCTGCTTTCTTTCCGAGCCTGGCGGAGGGCAATAACAGGAAAAGTTATAGTGTGTGTGTATGTGTGTGTGTATACACCTCTATAAATGAAATTGGTCCAGTGTCTCTTTTCCCTTGATTGGAGGTGATAGGAATGGCGTGCGCGCGCGCACACACACGCCAGGGAAGACACAAGCGGGTTTAGTGTGGTGGAGAGGGAATACCACAATCTGTGCCAGTTGTGCCTTGAGGCAAGATCACCAAGTGATGAATAATAACGCCTGGCTTGGCTGCTTTCCAGTTGATTTATGTCTTATGTCAAGTCCCTCCTTGTGAAGCTTTCTCTAACAATGCCAGCTCACACTGAACTCTTTCTGCCTTTTTCTTTTGTACTTAACCGTGTGCACTAGCACCTGGTTATATACAGTTGAGCATTGAAGAACAGGGGTTTGAACTTTCCGGGGTCGCCTGTATGCGGATTTTGTACAGTACTATGAACATGTTTTCTCTTTCCTGCAATATTCTCAATAACATTTTCTTTTCTTTAGCTTATTTTGTTGTAAGAATACAGTATATAATACATATAACACAAAACGTGTTAATCAACTGTTAATTCTGGTCGGCAGTAGGCTATTAGTAAAGTTTTTCGAGAGGCAAAAAGTTACAAGCGGATTTTTCCAGGAGTGAGTTCCCTGAACCGTCCCCACTCCCCCCTAGTTCAAGGGTTAGCTGTACTGTGTTTTTGTTTATTTCTGAGTTTGTTCATTATGAATGTTCTATACATAGATTCATGAATCTCTCCAGTGAGATCTTTAATACTTGTTATTCTGGGTAGTCAGTTTTATCGTTCTGTTGTTGACCTGTAAAGGCTACAGAACTAGTCATTTAACAGGTGCATTTTCTTCAGTGATTCGGTTAAAAAATATTATAGAGCACCCACCGTGTGCATTGTGCTAGGCATGGTACTGATCACTTGGGAGAAGTATTTGATGAAGTCATGGGCCCTAACATCAATGATCTCTTATTCTTTTAGTCAGTTGGCCAAGAGAGAAGATTAATTGCTCATCACCAGCTCTTCCATCTCGTACAATGCTTAGTAAATATTTTCAGAATTGGTTAATGAATGTTAGACTGTGGAGAAGACACTGTCATTTTACAAAGTTTTCTTTGCTTTTTACTTTAGGTTTTAGTTTTCTGATTCTTTGAAGACAGCACTTTTTTTGGTCTCAGTAGTTCATTAGGAAACACATACATTTGGTGTGTGTTTTTTTATTCTTGTATTATTTTTCTATAACATGCCTTCATTTGTTTTAATAGATAAAATCATATATGTAACTTTTCTGAAGACAAGGATAAGGAGGCCCTTTCTAAATTATGAAGTTGTGTTTTGGTTTTTAAGACAGCGTATAGTGGTTGCTGCTGATGTAGCTTCTGTTGCTAAACAAGCAACTGGTATTCTTCCTCCAATAGTGGTAATGTTTTGGGGATTGTAAAAGGTAGACCCTTAACATCCTGGGGGAATATATTGGAATTTAGAAACACTTCAACATGCTGCTGGCTTTCTTTGAGAGCCCCTCTTTCTTGACTATATCCTCATGCTTTAAAATTCACTCACTATTTAACTTTGAAGTTTATCCTTCATTTGGTGAACTTTTTTTTTTTTAAACAAAGAAACAGGTTTTGTCACCTCTTGGGATCAGTGATAAAGAAACAACTGTGAAGAGAACCACAAAGCAGAGATGTGGTTTCCCTGTTGTCATCCGTTAGCCACACTTATTTTTATCCCTCACCTCCCACCACACTCTAGACTTACAGTAAAAATTCATACCCCGGCAGAATTACCAATTGTATATTGTCCACAAATAAATGTCAAGAGCCTGTTGGAAGGTTTACCTTTACCTGCTGTGGGCTTTTGAATAGCCTTGGCTTCTTTGGAGCCTTAATTTCTCAATAAAATTTAAAATTAACTCATAAAGATGAAATATGGTATAAGACAAGTGACCTCATGGACTTAGTCACAGACTGAAACAAAACATTTTGATGAATGAATGGGAACCAGTTGTTGTCAGCTTGTAAATGATCATCTTCTTTCCTTTCCTGGTAGGATTTTTAGACTCTGAGGAACAATTGGAGCTAATCCACACCATGGAAATGGAAACCACTGAACCTGAGCCAGACTGTGTAGTGCAGCCTCCCTCTCCTTCTGATGATTTTTCATGCCAAATGAGACTGTCTGAGAAGATCACTCCATTGAAGACTTGTTTTAAGAAAAAGGAGCAAAAGAGATTGGGAACTGGAACCCTGAGGTCTTTGAGGCCCATTTTAAATACTTTGCTAGAATCTGGCTCACTTGATGGTGTTTTCAGATCTAGAAACCAGAGTGCAGATGAGAGCAGCTTACATGAACCTATTGTGAAAAAACCCCTGGAAATCAGTCCATCATGTCCACCAGCAGAAAATAGTATGTCTGTTCTGATTCCTGATGGAACAAGTGTTGGGGGCCAAATACCAGAAGCCCATCCTTCCACTGATACTCCAGAACAAGTGGTTCCAATCCAGGATCACAGCTTTCCACCTGAAACTCTTAGTGGGACGGTGGCAGATTCTACAGCAGGGCACTTCCAGACTGACCTTTTGCATTCAGTTTCAAGTGATGTTCCTGCTAGTCCTGACTGCATAGACAAAGTTATGGATTACATTCCAGGAGTTTTCCAAGACAACAGTTTTACAATCCAATACATTTTGGACACCAGTGATAAGTTGAGTACTGAGCTCTTTCAGGACAAAAGTGAAGAGGCTTCCCTTGACCTTGTGTTTGAGCTGGTAAACCAGCTACAGTACCATACTCACCAGGAGAACGGAATTGAAATTTGCATGGACTTTTTGCAAGGCACTTGTATTTATGGCAGGGATTGTTTGAAGCACCACACGGTGTTGCCATATCATTGGCAGATCAAGAGGACAACTACTCAAAAATGGCAGAGTGTATCCACTGATTCCCAGGAGCACTTGGAAAGATTTTACTGTAACCCAGAGAATGACAGAATGAGAATGAAGTATGGGTATGTATTTATAACTACTTTAAAGCTGTTAAATCCTATAGAAAAGGTCAAGAGGCTAAATGCTTAGTAGGGTGGTTTCTTTCAGTAGTAATCTGACAGGTTTTATTCTTTTGGCTATATACTATCCTGATTTTTCATGCTGGTTGAATGCAGACTATTTACCTAACCAGAAAATGAAGGTTTTATGATTTGAACAATTCATATGTCACCCTGTGCAATATGTATGTGCCTGAGAAGTTGCATATATATTGAATGCTGTGCATCAGATACTGTTTTAATTGCACAAGAGAGTTTGCTTTTGAAAGAAAGTCTAAGGTTAATCTTAAAATAGCATAAATGATGAGTACCAAATTTATCTGTTTTAAATATTTGCATATTGAGTAGCTTCTGTTTTTTAAAGGGAAATAGTATTGTTTGGAGATTATTATGGCACTCTTTCCATTTTGAATGGCACAGTTTTTCTGGGAACCTCTTCCCAAACTTCTGAATCATGCCCAAACATGTTAAATTTCTTTTAGTTTCCTTAAGGCTTTTTACCGTTAAGTTTATTAATCTATTTATCTTACAGATAAAATTTTTCTGCAATTCAGGCTGTTTTCTTAGACCTGAATAATGAGTTGAAGGGAAAATTTGTTAATAGATACGTTTATCATTTAAATAAAAATGTTATCCTCAAGTTTTTGTATGCAAGGCATGTACATAAATAATCTACTTCTTTTAAGTGTGAATGCCCAAGCAGTAGTCATTTATAGGGAATTGAAGTTTCCACATCTCAATTTGTATTTAATTGAACATAAAAATGAAGAGGAAAATGATAGTTGCCACTTGTGAAGTTGCTAGTGTAATAATGGCGGTATAGTAAGCATTAATTTTTGTTTCTAGTTATTCCCCCTGTAGTATAGGAGTTAAAATATGTGATATTAATGGCTATTTGTCTATGACCAAGAGAGAGGGTTAAAATTATATGATGGGAGAAGAATACATCTGTCTGTGCTACCTGACTTGGGAGACAATGAGGGCAACCTGACAACTTCACAGATGATGAATGGCCTAATGATGATGAATGGCCTGATGCAGTATGGGAAGGCATGACCCATAGGAAGGAAAAATACGCTGAGAATCGTAACCCACAAGTCCAAAAGAAACCCTTTTTTCCTCTTTTATTTATCTGTTTGAGAGAGGGAGCATACGTATGGGTGTGGGGGGGTTGTGGGGGAAGAGGGAGAGAGAGTCTTCAGCAGACTCCATGCTGAGCAGGTAAGGTCTGGAACTCATGACCTCACCATCATGACCTGAGCCTAAACCAGGAGTAGAGCACTTAACCGACTGCACCATCCAGATGCCCCCAAGAGAAACAGTTTCTTCAGAGTCATCTTTGTCATTGTTCACAGATAACTTGAGTTACACTAACCCAGGTGTCTGGAGAGTCAGGAATCAAATGGTGTCAGTAAACCATTTCTAAGTTGTTTATTTTTGTTAGTCTTGATGTTAACCCGTGTTCAACATAGTGCCTGGGCATTGTTGACATTGTAGAAACCAGCTTTTTGTTTTATTTTTTAAACTTGCTCCCTTTTAATATTAAGTGGTTTTCTCTTAATATTGCATTATTTCAGTTGTATAGTACACAGATCTGTATGTCTCTTTAGCAACTTAATTATCATGAGACTAGAACTTTGCATCTTGTGTTTCAAAAGGGATGCATGGAATAAGATAAGAGACGATATAAGATCCAAGTTTAAGGCATTATTATATAGGAGCCATTGGGATAAAAGTAAGATAATATCAAGAATGTAGCTTAAATCATGGGTAGCTCAGTTGGTTAAGGATCCAACTCTTGGTTTCAGCTCATGCTTGTGGGATGGAGCCCCCATATTGGGCTCTGTACTCAGTGTGGAATCTGCTTTAGAGTCTCTATTCCTCCCTCTTTCCCTCTCCATTCCTCACTCCCCTGCCCCCCAGTAAGTAAGTAAGTAAATAAATGAATGAATAAATCTTATTTAAAAATGTAGCTTTTTAATCATTAATGTATTATTTTGATAATATCAGGTAGTCAAGATTCTGTCTTACTTGGGTAGCAAAATTCTTACGTCCTGTACTAAAGCTAAGGACTTTTAATTTTTTTTTTTAAGCAAGCATTGGAGAAGATAAAGATGTTTTTCATTTTATCTCAAAAATATTTTAAGTAAGGTATTGTCCAAAATCTGTGTTGCCCATGAGCTAGCAATTCTAATTGGTATGTCAGGGTAATTAATTTTATATATACTCTCAAAGCCACTGTAATCCTTCCATCTTCAGATTGCAAAACTGCAGAATAGTGGCCTCCCACTTCACTCTTATGAAGCAAATTTCCAGTCCACTGAGTACTTCAGCATCTTGGTACATAAAGTTACTTTCTGAATTGGTCTGGAAGAAACTAGCAGGATTATTGTCCAACACATTATGTTCTGTTGCCATGAGCAAGGCAAGACAGGTATTTCGATCTCAAAAGAACTCTTAGGTCAGCAGCATATTGGGTATTTTATTCTTTAGTAAAATTACTTAGCTAAAGAATTAGACCTAGATATAGGCCTATAAGTGTACATTGTTGGATCAGTAATAAAGTAGTTGGAGTGAGTGCTTGATTTTCAAATCTGTTTTAATGAAATTAATGTTCATTTGACACTTGAGAGAAAAAGTATGAGTGAATTATTGTAATTACTAATGCTGCTGCTACATTGTTAATGGTAGTGGTCCTGCTCTGATAAAAATAGCAAAAGGTATTAACAGTTAATTATTAGTAAAGTGAAGTTCTCATAGACAACAGTAAGAAATACAAGATTGTAGATAGCTAAGTGTCAAAAATTAGGCTTTTGGGAAGTTGACCTGTGGTCATTGCAACCTGGTTTTCCTTGTATTCCAAAGCGATGTTGTGTTTCCTGGCAACAAGATGCAGATAACGGCATGTTGAGCCTTGCTGAGAGATTCACAAACAAGCTGGAGCAGCCCAGGTTCACATGGTTACCACATTATTTGGCTAAAGCTATTAATCTCTGTGGTCAGGCCTGTAAAGCTGGTCTATCTGTACTGATTGCACATAACCAGGAAGTGTGTGTTCAGCTGTGTATATGCCCAAGTCTGGCCCAGCAGTCTTTGGATTCAGAAATAATGAATGGCAATTGTTTATCCCATTTGTTTTCAACAGTTTATATGACTTGGAAAATCATTATATACCATATCCCTGTTACTTCATTGTGTGGAGCTTGGGGAAAGTTCATAGTTCTGGGTCTCTAGCAGAGACAGAAGTTCATAGTTTCAAACTGTACAGATAAAATCCTTTGTTTTGCAAATGTATTGGGTTTAACATCTAAATTAATCCAAATTAGATGTGCAATATTCATTTCACTCCCAAGAATGAAATTAGGAAGTTGAGTTACGAGCTATGTGAGTTCACAGGTCTCTTCCAACTCTTTTGTCTTTATCCCAAAGTATGATACAACCCCACTGTCCTTTCTCACTCTGCCCTTATATATCTCCAGATGTTTATTGCTGACATCAACTGGAAACTAGTTGTATGTATGAACTCCCCATATTCAGATGCCAAGGCATCTTTTGCTCACGGGATGGGCTTTGGAGAACTTCCAAATTCCAAATACACAGTTAAGAAAACAACATTGAATGTTGTGTTTTCGATTAAGAAAACATAGTCTCTGACAATTTAGGCACTCATCCTTAGTAGAAAATGATACTAAATGGCAGGACTAAGCAGTTTTGAAAGAGCTTTACTAACTGTGTAGAATACTGTTGTGGATAATTGAAATTGTGAAGGATGTGCAAATTTCTCTTGAGCAACTGAGATCACCACTGTTTTTTATATTACATTCATGTTAAAGTGTGCCAGAATACAGAACAGTCTTCTAGTTATTAACACCCATGAAGGAAAGGCACTCTGCAAACCTCATTTGTAGGTAATCTGTAGGTGAAAATAAGTCCCAAGTTAAGTGATTATTTCTAATCCTGAATTCCTGAAAGAGGGGGAGGGTGAATAAGAAAGTACAAACTAGACTCCATGGTTAATTTTTCTCTGAGGCCAGTGTTCTTTTTCTCCTCTTTGGGAATTAAAGCTTATCAATATGAGAGGGAGTTTTACTAGGTTATGGTTTAAGCCTGGAATGGTGTTACAGTCTTACTTTGGAGTTATTTTGATTGTTAATTGCTCTTAGAAGGTTGTTTTTTTTTTTTTTTTTTAATCTGTTCAAGAGACAATACCATTAGATGCCTTCACAGGAACTTCGTGAAAGAAGACAGGGAGAAGTGTTATTAATGATAACATAGAGCATATGCTGCTATTTTCTGTTTGACTTGCAGAGTGGATTATCTATAAAGTAGAGCAAGCTCCTGACTGAACTTTACTGGAATAGTTAAATTAGCCAAGTTAGCTCTGGCCTGCACAGCTGTGATGATATAGGAACTAACTCATTATGTGTTATTGATAACACTGGAGAGAGGAGAACAGCTGAAACTTACTATGTCTTGTGACTTTTTGGTATTTCTTGAATATACACAGCTGGATGAGTTTGAATTTATTTTAAAAATTCCTGCCTAAGAGAAAGATAAGCAAGAACTGTGTTTGAAGTGACTTTCAAAATGTGTGCCTTCTGCTTTAGGATAAAGCAATCCAATGAATTATTTTTTGTACCTCTTTGTGCTCTATTTACATATGAAATAAAACTAATTGGCTTCTGTCTATACTAATCCAGCGAAGTTACTGGGTCTGTGTAGAGCTATCATGGGGATCAATAGCAATCATCCATTAACTCCCTTTCTGGGTGGTTTTTTGTTGTTGTTGTTTGTCTTTTTGTCAATAAGCAGATTAGACTTTTTGAAGCAGCTGTCACCTGACTTCAGGTTGGGGTCAGTCTGTTCCTGAAGTATTTACTATAATGAAAATGAACCTTCAAAATGTCAAAGATGTATAACTTTTAAATCAAATAGTTGAAGGAAATAGCTTAAGGTTACCTGGC